CTTCCAAGACGTCGGAAACGGAAGAGGTTGGAAGCTGCACACCTATGGACCAATCTCATATTTTATACAAGACTTACCTAAATGATTGAATGGCATCTTTCGTAATAATGTGTCTTCCCACGGACGGATGACCCCATTTGATCGGACGACCTTGGAAGTTTGATCGTTTACGGTAATAGTTACTTTCGTCTTCTACAAATTCTAAAAGGTGCTTGCCGAACATATCAAATTCGTAAATTTTGAATACCTCACGCACCCCTGGGGTGATAATAAATATAATATTTGCATAACCAGAAAACGGGTATGATTTAGCTTCTTGAAAACTTGTACAGATAACGAGATGATAATTAGTACTCCTGCTGCCAAATTGGACATAGTTCCAAGGCATATTTCTCCTCGATAGGGTAGCCGTGATTCCTTTGTATTGGATAAAATTACACATTTTGCCGTATTTTTGGAGGAATTTTGTCGCTAGTAAGACAGGCCGTGAGTCAGCAGTTATGATTAGGTGGACCTGGTATTTTTTAGCGGAAATTGTATCAACACGACCCCAGCGAGTATGTAAACAAGTCGAGTCAGTGTCAACTTTTTGCTTAATTTGTGCTAATTTTGTGGATAAATGTGATCTGCAAAATACTGAGGAAACAAAAATACATAGAATACTTATCAAGAAATATTTCATGATTTTAATGTTACTTATTTGAATATTATATAAATAATGCTTCAAAAGTACTTAAAACAGAAACTTAGATAGTTCGTGAAATTGTAAGTATCGTACAAATATTCGAACTGGTGGGATATTTACTTATGTACATGCTCCCTTTACCGAGTGTGTTTTCTTTGAGACGGAAATACCACAATTATTTTTGTAATGATAAAATGTATATGCAAATAGATATGTATAATTATGAGGATACATAATTCCAATTGCAAACAGAAATTTCATCCGGTACGATAGCAAACTACTTAATAGGAGAAATTGTCGTGTATTTACAGTTTGATTATTTTTTGTTCTAGTATGAAATGCATGAAATTTAGGCCTATGTATATGTACATATATAATATGTATGTAGCTAGCTAGTATTAAATCGGCTTTACTTGAAAATATATGTATTTCCATGTTATGAAACAGTCGGATAATTAAACCTGTTCCTACTTGAATATGTACATATGCGCTGCATCTTTACATAACTCTTTGAATATGCTGCATATCAACTTGAGTCCTCAAATGATTCGTTCTAATTCAGGAAATTTTTGACCGGTGAGCTGGCGCCATGCTCTTATGACCTACGGGGTCCAACTTATAACCATTTTGTCTGACATAAGGAATTCGCTTTCAAAGCTTCAAGTCTCTATTTCGTTGCGCTCGCGAGTTATCGGATCTACAGGCAGACGGACGGACATACGGATTTTATACATAGATGTGGCAGTCATAATTACAAAATTTGCATTTAGTCAATTACTGGTCGGTATAGGATTATGCGAATGGAATTTATGTATACATACATGAATGTGCATACATATACGTATGCACACGTATGTATGTATAACGTATATAACGTACACACGTATGACGAGATGATTAAATTCATAACTTTTGCAAAATGCTTGATCTGAAAAATATTGGTATTTTTGTATTATAAATATTTCACCTTAATTTCAACTGAAACCGGGTTTTACCGGCGACCGAAAATTAGAATAACTTTCAACTCTGCCAAATATTTAGCTAGTACTTTTTTCATTAATATACCCAGGTATATTATTATCTTGAAATGGTTACCTTAGACTAAGCATGCTTTCCAATATGTACATACATACACATGTAAATAAGTATTTAAAAAAGATATTGGCCTGCTCAATGGAAATAAAAAATAGCTTAAGTCTTAAGCTACCAGAACATAAAATAACCCAATCCAATCCAGGTGCCGCGGACATCTGGGGACATTAACATTGTAAGATTGGGGAGGAAGGGGTTTATATAACACGGGCAGATGATGGGGACATCGAATAACCGTGGGAACACAGGCTTCCGCGGCCATTAGTCCAGTCAATATATTATCTAATTAGATAAATTTACTGATATTCTACGTCGAAACTTGGAACTCCACAAAAGTTTTGTAAATACTTTTTTCATTTTCTAATGGAATGGGTGCTTAAGACCAATTTCGTTAAAACCTTGTTTTAAAATTAGTTATCTTTCAGACGATTCCTATCCCATGGACTGCATGTATACATCCTATGAAAACCTTCAATTTAAATTTTTTTTAAATCAATGTTTCACGACGACGCCCTCAAACATCTTCGTCGTGGCGTCCATGTCATTCAGCGGAGTTGCTTCGGCCTGGCGTACTGTTTCGAATGGGATGCCAAAACGAATCGTGCCATCCCACTGCGAAATGGCTCAAAATATCGAAGCTTTCAAATTCTTTGCTATTTGTTCGTATTTTTCGTGGCGCCCGCATTTCTCGCGAGAAGTTATCACTTGGCGGTGATGTCACCACCTGGACAAGAATCTCCGGCCTCGATAGGGGTCACGTACGCAGCTGCGATTATCATAACCGGTTTCGTTCCGATGGCGTGGAATTTGAAGAGAGCATCCGGCCCGAGAAAATATGTTTCCGTGTATCAGGCAACGATGGAGATGGAAAAGCATTTTGAAGGTAGATAAAAGTACAGTGGGGGTTCAATTCAAGTTCGCATCATAGCATACATATTTTTTTAAATATGTTAAATCATTGTGTTTATAAAACGTTTCCTAATCTAATTTTTAGCCCGAGTCAGGGCTTATGGAACCGTCATGTCCGTCCGTCCGTCCGTCCGTCTGTCCGGCACGATAGAGCCAAAACGGCTGAACCGATTGACTTGAAATTTTTACCATATGCATATTGGACAAAATTAGGAAACGAGTTCGAAGATGGGCGAAATCGGTCAAGTGGATGACCGGTGGGGGTCATCGGAGTGGGTGGGGTATCATGCACCAAAATTTCAAAATTGTCGTAGAAAGCTGAAATTTGGTACAGAGGTTGCTAATGGCTCCTAATAGAAAAAAATAACTTCAAGTTGGAAAAATTTTCATATTGAGGGACCCTACAGGGTTACCCATACCGATTTTTCAAAATCGTCATACCAAGCTGAAATTTGGTAGATAGATTGCTAATGGGTCTTAATAGAAGAATATGGCATGAAATTGGTAAAATTCTTATCTGGAGCGACCCTATGGGGTGACCCATACCGATTTTTAGAAATTACTTTAAAAACATTAAATCCGGCACGGTTATACCTAATGGCTTCTCAAGAAAGGATATGAAGCTAAAAGTGAGCAAATTTTAACCAGAGTGACCCTGGAGGAGTCAGGGACTCTGTCCCTGACTCGGGCTATATGGAGTCTGCACTGTAGGTTTTTGTCAAGTGTTTAGTTTCTTGCGGGTCTAACCAATCAAGACATGCTACCACTTCTTTTATATCGGGAGTGGAAATGGAGCTGCTTTTAGGAAAATACCAGGACTTGTATTTTTAAGAGAAGTTAGTAGTGGTAGGGTTGGAATTGAAAACCCATGCTAAATATATAAAAAAAAACATGAATTTTTGTATAGATCTGATCTGTTTCGTCCTTGCAAAAAAAAACTGCAATAAAATGCAGAGCAGTAACGCGACCTGCCGCCCATGACATATAGCGGCGGGAACTAGGTTCTTGCACCTAACTACAGGTCAAAACAGCGAAGTACATAAAACCACCTTCTTGAAAGTCTTCCTTTGCACGCAAATCAATGCTTGAAAACCTCTTGAAATTTAGTTGCCAGATTTTAAAACTCTTGATTGTGAAAACCCGCATTAGAAAAGGACCACCTATAGTATCAATGGTTAGCGATTAATTAAATTATAACATGCTTTCAGCTCTCTGTCGAAATTACGACCTCAACCCAGCAGCCCTTACCGCTGTCCAGACATGCAGCAAAATGTTATCCTCCTACTTCTACCAATTTGACTACATGGCCCCATTGTCCTTCGCAATCATCTCATTCACCCCCATCAGTCCTGTATACACGACAATTCACTCAATTTCGAAAGCTCTAAACCTCAAGTTGATCACTGGTAAAATCGGTACCATTCTAATCTCTGGAGTCCCAGCCTCTCTCGGTGGCATATTCTTAATGGCGACGATGGGGGCCTGCATCCTGATCTCGGGGTATGGCGTGGTCTGTCTGTACGTCTGGACGTTGGCCATCATACCAACTTCGAATCGGGTAGAATTGCCGTTCGAAACAGCCCTTCACGTGTACACGTGCCTCCGCCACGTGACGATACTGCATTCCGAAATGGCCCATGATTTCGTGGCGGTCTGTCTGCACCATGGCACGATGGTCGTCCTATCAACGGGGGCCTTGTTCAATATGATAACCGAGCTGGCGAAGGGGGCAGAGATGTCGGCGATCCTGATTTTTGCCTGTGTCGCACTCATCCTTGTGTGTCTGTGGATCGAAATATTTGCGATTTACTTCACCGCGATGTCATCAACAGCATCGAAAGAGTTTTTTAGGCAGATGCGACTGATACATGGGGAAAATAAGTATAAAAGGAAAGCTTTGAGGTGTCTGCTGCCAAATTATGTCAACTTGGAAGCCGTGAGTTCTGCAGATACTTTTCTGAATGGGGTACAGATGGAGTACTTTTCAAATTATTTGATAAGGGTGACCGATAACACGATAGACTTACTGTTAGCGTATAAATAATGGCTGGGTTAGTACATAAGCTCGACTGTATAAGTGTGTAAAAATTAATTACGAGTACCTCAATTAATTGCACGAGAATGATCTCGTGCAATTCATGTATGAACCATCGTAATTGCAGTGTAGACAAACAGTAATGAAATGCCGGACTAATTACTATGGTAATCCTAAATAAGCATGTATGCCATGTATGCAAATGTATGCAAATTTTGTAGAATTTCAGAAAAAATTGCGAAAACTGTTGATATAATTCGGCGACATTGTTTAGAATTCTTGAGTTCATGTAACTTTTAAATACAGCAGTTTCGGTTCCGTATTTATTTAATTTTTTAGCAAGTATCTAACAATAAAAAAAGTTTTCATTATGTATAACAGTTGGATTCGTTGAATCATTTATGTATAACATGTCATGTGTACTGCATTTCTAATTCACTCTCAAAAACTATTTGCTTTTCGAACGTTAACCAATCACATTCTACCCTCCTCCTCTTCAGTACTGATAAATTGGTCGACGATTATTTCTGCTCCTTTCGAAATATTAGATTTTCGCCTCCTTTTCGGCGCAGTAGTTGGACCACCGGAAATCGCCGCCGCCGCCGCTGCTGCCTCTCTTTTTCTCTGAGTTTGTAGCCTTTTTTCAACCAGAATCCGATACGGATAATGTTTCGTCCAACGATCCGGGTCATGACTGTAATTATGAAGCGTTAAACTGGTACTCGTCTTGAACGCTTTTCCGCACTGGGAGCAAAGGAAGGGACGCTCTTCTCCATGAATTGGTCGATGAGCAGCAAGGTTAGACTTTTTAGTGAAACGCTTCCCACAAATGTCGCACATATGCTTTCCTGGCGCCTTTTCGTGCCCGTGTTTCACGTGGTGGTTGAGATGAGCGCTGTGAATAACGAATAGATAAATGTACATAGATATGTAAAATAAAGACTAATTATTCAATCAGATGTTAAACTGTGCAAAAATATTTTGAAAACTTTTCAAACAAAAAAAACGTGCATGATTTTACAATGTGGGAATCCATATTATATTCCATGTCACCCAAAACTGTTGCTTCGCAACTTAGGATTAGTCTAGACGTTCTCATGTGAATGACATATATATTTTAAATGAAAATTTATAAAGTGAAAATGATACAGAAATTAAACTTTACTTAACGGCGAGTTTGCGAAAAAAACAGGTTACGACTATAATACATGCCTTTTGTATCGCATAAATAAGTCGCAAAAAAAGGATTCTGATTGATAGTCGCATCGTAACTCTTCGCAAAGTCGCGAAGATATGTTGCGAAACGAAAGTTTACGAAAAAGGTGACGTGAATACGGACAATTTAACTGTTTTTTTAGCAAAAATTTGCCAACACGTGAGTGAATCGGTACAATTTTTTTTAAATGACTTACAACTCTGAAAAAACTCTGCCACATTGGTCACACTTGTGTTTTCCTACTCCGTGCGTGGACGCCATGTGTCTTGCGAGTCGACCTTTATTGTTAAATAGCCTCTCGCAATTTTCAACGCGACACTGATGCACAATTGGATGTAAAGTTTCTGCATCGGTTAGAATGTATTTATGACATCGGACCTTGTGGTGTAGGAGGAGGTTTGGATCCGCGAATTTAAAATGGCACTGGGTGCATTTAATTTTCCTATGTTCGGCCAGATGGGCATTCAACTCGGCTTGGCCACGGTACTTGTGCTCGCATCTAAATTAATTTCACATTAAAAATTAAAATCAAAATATTCAACGAGATTTCTAATGGGCGTAGTCACGACGACGTTAGGTTATCGAAGCTCAAAAAATTGAGGAGATTTTGAATTTCAAATCTTGAATTTCACAAAACTATAAAAACAATAAGGAAATTGACGCCGTCACTGGTAACTTGTAAAATCCGTTAGTTTTGTAAAACAATTTTACAACGTTTACAAAATAAAAAGTTTTACTTAGCTTACAAGCATTTGTAAGCTAATTTTCCTATCGATACTGTGAATTATTGGTAAATTTTGTAAAAGTTTGTACTTTTACATAATTTGTGGATTTTACACTGTTACCAAGCACTGCGTGAACTGGTTCCATATTTAATCATGATTTTATTTCCATTAGTTTAATTTTTTCTGTAATTTATGTATGAAGAGGATAACTTGGCGAAACAAAAACACGTCCAGTTTCAGGGTAAATTTGAGAAAAATCGAATCCAGAATTTTTTTGTGAAATCTTGCAAATTTCTGAAATTACGAAAATTGTCGTGAATAAGCCAAATATGAATTTATAAACTTAACAAACCCATCTCTTGGACATTCCACTGGTTCTCCTAATTCCATCATTTTTGCGTGCTCCTCCGATTTGATATGATTCTGCAGCACGGGAAGAGAGATAAACCGCAGCCGACACGGTTTACATATAAAAGGCCACATCCAAAACTTGTTTTCTGGGATCTTGCTAATTTTTCGTTCCTTGGATTTGACACGTTGCTCGGGTAGTTTGGCGTCAGGGTGCTGGGATAATACGTGCGCTTCGCATTCACTGAGCGAAGTGAATTCTTTGAGACACACGAAACACCCGAATTTTGGGGTCTGTTTGTGAGCATCGGCCAAATGTTGGAGGAGATCGGATTGTACGGGGAATTTTGTATTGCAGACCCCGCAGTTGTAAATAATTTTCTTTTTCTTCAGCTTGACTGGAACTAATTGGGAAGAAATGGTTTGTTAGGGATCATAGTAAATTTTAATTAAAGTTAAAATTACCAGGTTGAGTTAGTTCAGTAGGAAAAACGTTGGCATTTGGAGTGGTGGAAATATTCTTTGGTCCAGAATCCGTCCTACTCTTCAGAATTCTACGGAGAGAAATTTTAAAAAAAACATGAATATCTTTCTTTCCATGAATTGGGCACAAATTTGGATAAATTTAATTAGTTAATATGCCATTTTTCTTACTCTTGCTCATTGTTTGATTCGTTCGTCGTTTGAGATACCAAACCAGAGGGGAGAGCTTCATCAACATTTTCACCAATATCTCCACTTTGCTCTTCGACCACTTGTTCAGGAGACGTGTCCTTAATTTCTATCCGTGTTAAGTTAACGCGGAAGAATCCCTGGTCACGTGCTGCCTCCTGGATTTCATCCTTCGTCATAGGGATCACCCACGGGATTAATTTGACATCATATCCTAATTCTGGCAATGGTGGTAACGCAGATCCGTCCTGGTGATGAGCTGCCTTCAGGTGAGATTCCAATCGGTCCGTGGTGGTGAACGATTCCGTGCATTCGGGACACCGTAGAAGTGGATGGCTTTCTATCCTGTGACGTTTTATGTCCCGAGATCTGAATATCTTTCCGCATTGGAGACTAACAACTGGACTAGCGCAAAGGGTGAGACCTAGGTCATAAAATAAATCATAATATAAGTAAACATAAACCCTCACAAAGTAAGTAATTACATAAACAAAATTCAGCATATCATATTTTTACTTGGCAACACGATTTCGCAAACTCAAAACAAGGGAACTATATCAAAATACACGTTTTATAATGCGAAATTATATTTTTAGAATCCCTTCGCGACACGATTTTTTAAGCTTTTCCCAATTGTTGAACAATGAGGGGCGATAATAAATATTTAAAATACTGTCGTAATTACGTATGTATGGACCGATTGTGTACCTGGGTGAATAAATTTCCGGTGCAAGCTAGCTTCCACGAGGGTATCGAACTTATCTGGACAAATGGCACAAGGATAATGCCCCTTTCTTGCGGGGCTGGTGAGGTCAGGTAGCTTTCGAATCTCCGAGACCATCGGTTCGGATAGGTTGGAATTTCCTCGATTTAAATGACGAGCAAAAATGCTGTTTATATAAATGGATAACAAACAAGTATATTAAATGTTGTATGGTAATTTTACTAAATGTCAAAATCTACCCAGTTTTTTGTAACGATGATAATATTACTGCCTGGATTTTTGACACGTTTTCAATGCTGTATGACACAAATTGAAAATAAATAATTAAGCAATGCTTTAATTAGTTGTTTATCACAAATTCTATTCAAACTCACGCTGGTCTTGGGACATATTTTTTCTTCTCCTTGTGCTTCTGTTTCATTAACGGGCTAATCTTGATTGGCGCAACGCTCCTTTTGGGGGTCGTTTTCGAATACGTAGCTACAACTTTGTCCTTGTGCAGTTTCTGAAATTCTGGAAGACTTTGATCATCGTCTTCAATACTTGATTTATTACCAGAAACTTCTGAATTTGGAATACCACTTTTTGAATTTGCAATGCTTGAATCTGCAGCGGGCAACTTATTCGCAATAATTTCAACCCCTGAATCCTCTCCAAATTCTAAATTTACACTACTTGAATCTGCATCTGCAATGGGTGAATTCGTAATAACTTCGTCAACTATTGAATCCTCGCCAAATTCTAAGGGATCATTTTCCATTTCCGGTCTAGAAATATGCTCTTCATTCTCATGAAACTCTACTCCTGACCAGTCCGCGACGATAAAGTTTTCTTCGCCAACAAAATCTAAGCAAATAATTTACAAATCATGAAATATTTACTCACAAATTAAATAATCCTCACTAACTAACCACTCAGCAATTGTTCGCGAATATTTCCGTATATTTTTTCCACCACCAAATTTCCTCCGTCCTCCTGCTTAATGAGGGTGGAATTTTGTACTAATTTCTTCACGTTGTTCTTCACCTGGTCCAAGTCTCTCTCCAGTTTGATAATTGTGCCATGTAGCTGCTCCCCTTGTCCGAGAAGACGCACACATGACGAACAGAGATCGATATATTGTTCAATTTCCTCCTGGCGAAAGGTGGAGTCGCAAAGGAGCGAATATGGGACGACTTGTCCCAGCAGAAATTTCACTCTTGTGGGATACTTTTTGTTCTTTAGGGCGGGACAACAGCAAATGATACATCTTATCGGAACAATAGAATCGTCCTCCTCGTCCTCATCCTCCTCTACAGGCGCTTGTTCCATCATCTCGACCTCATTGTTGCTCAATCCTGCAATAAGTTTGAAAAGTAAAAAAACGTTCTAAAGTAAATCTTAAAAGAAAAAAAACACACCTTGCAATTCTCGAGGTTGTTGGTTGGCTCTATCAGAATGTTGATTTTTGGCAGCACGAACTCTAGCCATGTGTATTTTTCGAGCCTGCCGAAGTTGTCTTTTTGCTCCGGGTTTACGCTTCATGATTGATTTCTGTAAAAGATTTTGTTTTTAAATATATTTTTTAAATATTAAGGACCAATAGACGATCTGTATGACGATCTGAAATTGACATCGTACTTTCTTACCACCTTCTCAGGGATAGAAATTCACAAGATAAAAATATGAATATGAATAACACATATATTTATTTAGAAAGGAATAATAAGAAATATTTTTAGAAAATAAACAATAGTTCACTCACTGCAGCTTATTATTTCATCCGGGCAAAGAAAATATGAAACGGGCCCGAAATAGTTTTATGGTGGTGATTTTGAAACTAATTGTGTAAGAAATTAAGTACTTAAGTAGCAAAATAAGTATTAAGAAAGTACAAAATTAATTATTTTGTATTCGAAGAAATTCTTCAATTTGATGTCAACTCTTTTGGAAGAACATGTGTTGTTTGGTTGGCGCTTGTGGCCATCACGTTTCATACGAACAAAGTCTTTTTCATGCAATTTTATTTCTCAACGCGTTACAATGTATGCACTTTCCAAGAAAATGCTGATTTTGCTGGTTTAAGTAATAAAATAACTAGCATTATATTTATATTAATAACCAAACTCCGGTTATTATTGATTCAGTTCGTACAAAAATTTCATCGTAGTTTTCCCTTATGAACTTACATATAAATATGTACAAGAAGTTCGACCTTAGTTTTAGCGAATTTGTATTATGTATTATTTGGTATTATCTTTTAACTTATTTTTTCCATCAGAATTTATCCGATGTGAATATAATTAAGGGGCCGTTCATAAACTACGTAACGCTTGGAGGTGGGTGGGTGGGTGTAGGGTGGCGTCACGCATAGTCACGTAGGAGGGAGGGTGGTATGAGACTATCGTCACGTCACACTCGCAAAAATTATAAAAAGTGTAAAGAAACCACGCGTTTCGATTTACGGCTTTGGTTATGTTACTCTCTAAAATAACTTTCTGATTTAAATTTGCTGAGTTTCATTTCGAAATGTCAACTGAAAGATATTCACTCTACGACGATGACTCTGGTTAAATGACGATGAATGCTTCTATTTTACACTGTTTAGTTTAAAATTTCATAGAAAATTAAAAACATAACTTGATTAAGTTAATTTAAATTAAATTTAAAGTACTTAAACTAGTGGGAAATTTGAGATTTTCCGTGACGTTATGAGGGAGGGGGGGGGTGGGTGGCTTGAAGCGTCACGCAAGCGTCACAAGGGAGGGAGGGAGGGGTAAAAATATTCGAGTTTAGCGTTACATAGTTTATGAACGGCCCCTAAGACAAAATAGATATCATTTCGAACTTATTTTTGTACAGGTTTAAAAGGTATAAAAGATATTTTCTTGTATATTAGACAACTCCACAGACATATGTATGCATGGCCACTTGGCCAGCCAACCTGTATATTGATGACTATTGCTATTTAAAAAAATATTTACCAATTAGATTTCAAATCGCGTACTCAAAGAAAATATACAAGTATACAAGAAATTTAGTAATATGTCTTCACTGGAAATTTCCCATAACATGAATTTGTTACAACCTGGTAAAAAAACATGATCAGTTTGCCGGAAATCAAAATGTAACGCCCCCGGGTGGGCTTGAACCACCAACCTTTCGGTTAACAGCCGAATGCGCTAGCCGTTTGCGCCACGGAGGCGAGCGATGAATAATTAATGAATGAAGTAGTGTCAAATTTTCAAAAATTAATGACCTCTCAGACTGTTAGGATATTCTATTTACAAGGAAAAGGGTAATTAGTGCATTGGCCATCGTAATTACAGTGGGCACAAGTCAGTAATGAGGGCTAATTAGTTAAATAAGAAAATTAGTTCTGATAGGGGAACATCCATACCTTGGGTTGGGTCATGAAAAAACGTCAAAGTTTTTACCATCCACCCATCCCATCCCTACCGCATCCTACTCATGTAACTAGTAATATAGGTCATCCAAAACCGCCATCTTTTTGATGGCGTATTTAGTACATGGATGTCCCCTAGCAGATACATTAAGTGCTATTTTTTGAAAATTTCACAGTATTTCACTCATTAATTATTCATCGCTCGCCTCCGTGGCGCAAACGGCTAGCGCATTCGGCTGTTAACCGAAAGGTTGGTGGTTCAAGCCCACCCGGGGGCGTTACATTTTGATTCACAGGGAACTGGTCATATTTTTTGACCCCTTAATAAATTCATGAGATGGACAAACTTCCAGCGGTAAGATTCATGATTCAGGTTCAGACGGCTCATATTATCCGATGTATTTTATAGTTATAAATTTTCTTTGAGTATCTGTTTGGTTTGAAACAGAACTAGTGAATATTTTTTTAGATGGCAATATTCAAATGGTCATTAAGATGTAATGTAATCAAGGTTTGACTACACAAACCCGGCCATTATTTATAGTTTGACTGTCAAACTATAAATAAGCAATGGCCGGGTTTATGTATGGAGGTGACACTGGAACTATCTAGTTTGTATGTAAACAAATTATACCTTTTAAATCTGTACAAAAATGAGCTCCTCATTGTACCGATTTTGTCATGAAATTTTGAAGGAACAAAATTTAAATCGAATACAAAAAATATTTAAAAAGTACGAAGTTCATGATTAAATTAAGCTCGTACGTCTTGTGCGTAAGAGGTAATGATTTTTCCAAAAGCGAAAGCCACAACAAACTTTCTATACGAAATTAATAAAAATAAAATAACTAAACTAGTAAAAATTTGCATTTTCATGGACAGTGTACGCACGCAATCCACTCGTTTACATATGTATATTTGCATGAGAAAGTCGACTTTGTTCGCATGAAACGAAACTCAACCGCGAACCAAATAACACATGTTCGACAGAATTTGCATCCGCAATTTACACAAGAATACAAAATTTCAAGAATTTCAAATTTGTTGCAATAATAAATAAGACAAATATGTTTTCAAATCGGGATAAAACAACTAAGGATCCATTTAATTGTTTCTTGTGCGGATGAAATAACAAACTGCAGTGAATTGTTTATTTTACTTAAATTCCCGCGTGCACTCTTATCCTAACTGAAAAAGTGGTAAGATAATACGATGCTAATTGTTACTGTCATGAATCATTCCAACATCAAAGAACAATGAAGAACATTATTGTTTAATATTTTTGCCAAACAGAAATAAATCATGGCGCGTCTAAGCAAAAGGCAAATTCAACGTCGAGCCGCCAGTCAGAAGGCCAGAGAACTAAGCAAAACTAAAGCTCGTAACAATAACCAAGGGGCCAGCGAACAAGGTACAGAATTCAAAGGTATACTTTTGTTTTAAAGTTTAAAACGTTTTTAACTGTGTAACTTTTTAAATTATTGCAGAAATTAGCAACAATGATGCTGAGATTATAGAATCGGTTCCTGTAAAGGAGGAGGAGGACGTGATTGTTTCAATTTGTATAATTTGCTGTTGTCCCGCCCCAAAGAACAAGTATCCCACAAGGGTCAAGTTTCTGCTGGGACAAGTCGTCCCATATTCGCTTCTTTGCGACTCCCCGTATCGCCAGGAGGAAATTGAACAACACATTGACCTCTGTTCGTCATGTGTGCGTCTTCTGGGTCAGGGGGAACAGCTACATGAGCGGATTGTCAAACTGGAGAGGGAGTTGGACCAGGTGAAGAACAACGTGAAGAAATTGGTACAGAATTCCACCCTCGTTAAGCAGGAGGACGGAGGAAATTTGGTGGTGGAACAAATATACGGAAATATTAGAGAACAATTGTTGAGTGGTTAGGATAATTTAACGTTTGATTAGTAAATTGTAAATATTTCGTAAGTGTTTATGACAAATTTTCATAGATTTCGTGGGAGGAGAGGACGGAAACTTTCACTGGTCAGGAATCGAGTTCGATGAAAATGAACAACAAATGGAGAATATTTATACACCTGAAATTGGAGATGATCCCTTAGAATTCGGAGAGGCTTCAGTTGCAAATTCAAATGCAAATTCTGCACTTTCCTTCCGTGCAGATTCACTAGCTTCCAGTAATCCGCTTAGCTTAAGTCTTGAAGAAGATTATAGAAATTTTCCAGAATTTGAAAGGGACAAAGTTGTGACAACGTATTCGAAAAGCACCCACAAACGAAGCGTTAAACCACTCCAGATTAGCCAATTAATGAAACGGAAACACAAAGAGAAAAAATATGCTCCAAAGACAACGTGAGTGTCGATGCAATTTGTGACAACGAATTAAGTAATTAGTGAATTAATTAACTAATTACTCTAAATTTGTATTTATTACACAGAATTGAAAGAAGGAGAGAAAACGTGACAAAAACCCCGATAGTAAAGAGACCTAGATCATCATCAAGTAAAACTGGGTAGGTTTTGACATTAGATAAAATTATCAGAACATTTATTTAAAATATTTGGTATCCATTTATGTAAACGGAGATTTTGTAAACCACTTTAGCTCACTGATAACTGACACCAGTCTGTCCCTATTCAGTGAATCGTTGACTTTGCCGGTCCTTGAGGTTCGAAAACTACCTGACCTCACTACCCCTTCAAAAGGGAGTCATCCTTGTGTAATTTGTCCAGATAAGTTGGATACCCTCGTGGAGGCTGCCTTGCACCGGAAATTTATTCACCCAGGTACACAATGAGAGATTCGCAAACCTGTAAGAAATTATGTTTTGTTTTGATTCCCATCGCTTAAGATAAGTTTGCGAAATCATTTTGCGAAATAAAAATACGCTGAGTAATTACATAAATTTGGAAAAATTCTATTGTTTTTCAGCAAATGCAATTTTGTTATTATTTTATTCTACTTGGTGTCGAATAACTGATTTGTTTTACGACCTAGGTTTCTCCCTGTGCACTAGTCCAGTTCGTACCCTCCAATGCGGAAAGATATTCAGATCGTGCGACATAAAGCGCCATAGGATAGAAAGTCATCCACTTGTTCGATGTCCCGAATGCAGGGAATCCTTCACCACCACGGACAGATTAGAATCCCACATGAAGGCTGTCCATTACCGTGACGGATCTGAGCTACCCCCACTCCCAGAATTTGGATATGATGTCAAATTAATTCCATGGATGCTCCCCTTGACTACGGAGGAAATCCGGGAAGTGACCCGGGATCAAGGATTCTTCTACATTAACTTAAAACGGCTAGAAATTAAAGAAACGCCGGAACACGTGGTCGCTGAGCAAAGTATCGGTAAAAATGTTGAAGAAGTGCCCATCCCATCATTCCCATCCACTTCGATATCTAATTTGACTGACGAATCCAACCAGGAGCACGAGTAAGAAAATTTATTAATTGAACTTATGTTCGAACTTATGTGATTCTCAGTTTATGCTCCAATCTTTAAAATCAAGTTACATATTTATAATTTTGTTTAAATTTCTCCACAGAATTCTAAACAGGAGGAAGGTTTCTGTAGCAAAAAATATTTCCACAACTGAAAATGCTAGAGTTTTTCCTACGGAACTAACTCAACCTGGTAATTTTAGAGTGTGTACATAACTTTAATTAAAATTTATTACGATACATAACAATTACTTAATTACTAATTAGTTCCAGTCAAACGAAAAAGAAAGAAGATTATTTACAACTGTGGCGTCTGCAATACAAAATTCCCCGTACAATCCGATCTCCTCCAACATTTGGCCGATGCTCATAACCAGACCCCGAAATTCGGGTGTTTCGTGTGTCTCAAAGAATTCACTTCGCTCAGTGAATGCGAAGCTCACGTTTTATCAGACCACCCTGACGCCAAGCTACCAGAGACACCTATGAGATATAAGTCTCCAAAAACTACGAAAGTCACAGAAAGTGGCCAGGACAAGAGGTGGATGTGGCCATTTATGTGTAAAACATGTCGGTTACGGTTCAAATCGCTTCCTGCCCTGCAGACTCATTTGAAATCAGAAGACCACACGCTAAACTTAGAGTTAGGCCCGTTGGAAATTTGTCCACGTGATGGGTTCGTCAAGTTTTAATATTGGGCGTACTCACGACAATTTTCGCATCTGATATTTAATTTACAAGATTTTGCAAAAATGTTTGTCGGAAAACTATGGGATTTATTTTTCCTCAAATTTACCCACCACATGTTTTTATTGCGTAAAATTATCTCGCAAAGCGATAGAAATTGCAGAAATCGAGGTCAACAAAATGAAAATAATGATTGTTGAGGCAATTTAAGCAATTTAGTTCAGGTAGCATTGTGAAATTAGTAAATTCCATAAATTTTACAACTATTTCTAATGAACAGCTTAGATTTTTAAAACTTGCTCAGATCAAAGGCACCTTTTTGTTTTACAAAAGTTTTAAAAATTATTTTACAAAACTTACAGATTTTATTAGTTTCCAAAGACTTTACTCAATTGTTTTTATGACTTATGCAAATATGATGTGAAATCTTAAATTTTGTTAGCTTTGATGTTACGATATGACCTTGCCGTGAGTACACCCATTAAAAATATTGGTAAAGATTATTTTTTTATGATATTTTTTATATGAAATTAATTTAGATGTAAGCATGAGTATCGTGGACAAGCAGAGTTGGATTCTCATCTAGCCAAACATGATCAGCTCGACAATCAAATTAAATGCCCCCAGTGCTATTTTAGATTTGCCGATTCAAACCTGCTCTTGCACCACCGGGTCCGATGTCATAAATACGTTCCCACTGAAGCAGAATCTTTACAGCCAATTGTGCATCCATGTCAGGTTGAAAATTGTGGGAAGCTATTCAACCACAAGGAGCCACTCGCAAGGCACATGGCGTCCATGCACGGAATAGGAAAACACATGTGTGAACAATGTGGAAAAGTTTTTTCACAATTGTAAGTCATTCCAAAAAATCAATTTGTATCGATCGTATAAATTCACTCGGATGTTTACAATCCTGTAAATCATGCACATTTTTCCGTAAAAAATCATTGAAAATTAGAAAATAGAAAATAGAAAATAGAAAATTCTGACAAACATGAGTTTACTAAACATTAAGCAAAGCTGAAATGATAGGTTATTAAAAGTTGTAATTTTCATCTGAAATTTGGTATGTAGGCTAAAAACCGCTTCTGGATAACACACAGCTTTAGAAGTTCAAGATGTTAAAGAAGCCCACTGGTCCTGGTAATCAAGTGGAAAGATTTGTAAACAATTCAAAAATTTGGTGCTAAATAATAGAAAATATCCAACAAACATTTAATCATCCATCACGGACGTTGGTTATGTCGGTCAATTCGGAGAAAAATTTAGAAGTGGGAGTCAGAGAGTCCCCGAGTCAGAGACTCTGTCCCTAACTCGGGCTAAATGGAGTCTGCACTGTAGGTTTTTAATGGTTTATACCAACAATGAATCACGAAATTATAGCCAAATGAGTCTGAGTTTTTGTGCATGCCATCTAAAAAGGCCCCGCGAAGTTGCTTGAAGTAGGTTTTTAATAAATTAACGTCATGTAAAACTAACTATCTTCAAATTAAGGTTTGCAACGTATATTTGTTCAATGTTCATTTGCATTATTTTTTTCGCCAAGCCTTAAATAGGTTTTATAAAATTTGTATATAACCCGAGTCAGAGCTTATGTAGAACGATAACGATTATGACCGTCCGTCCGAATGCCAACACGGTTGAACCGATTGAGCATTAATTTTGCATACAGAAGCATATTTGACCAAGTTAGAAGCTATATCTAGTTTGGCAGATGAGAAAAATCGGTCAACTGGTTGACAGTTGGGGCCATATACGTGGGGGCATTAATTGTGCATAATTTGTCCACTAAACTTTCAAAATAGTGTTTGAAAGCAGCTGAAACTTGGCCCATAGATATTTAGATTGGTCGAAAGCTTCTGCCGTGAAACTGGAGAGATTTTCAACCAGAGGAGTTCACCCATATCGATTTTCGGAAATTGTCTTGAAAAGCTTAAGTTGGTCATATGTATAAAATACAGAACTACGATAAAATAAAATAAAAAATACCTATGTACATACAAAAATACATGTACATACATCACTTCTTGTAATAACTTACAAGGGACACTCACGACCTGTCGTTTGAGTCCAGGGTACCCACTATGTTTTTTAGAATCTACTAGGACCCCAGATGAAGGATTCATTCATATTTCTGTGTAAAACTCATATTTGGCGCCATGGCGTGGCGCCAAATTCGCCAAATTTGATGGTTTTTCATTTTAAAACCGCCGTAACTTTTGAAATCCTGGACGGATTTTCAAAATTTTTGGCAAAAATCACGACAAGGAGTTCAACTTTCGTATTCTATGAAATTTTTTCCAAAATTGTCGCTTTTAACTTTTCGCAAAATTTCGAAATTTCGGGTTCGTCGAAAAAATGCTAAAAATATCTCAAAAATTAAAATTTTTTTATTTTTATTTTTTCTCTAAAATTTCGACTTTTCTGATCATTTTAAGCATAAAATTTTAAAAATCCGACATAAACTGCAAAAGTTATGGGGGTTTGAAATTGGTCGAAAATGCAAATTTTTAAGTTTGGCGCCACGCCATGGCGCCAAATATGAGTTTTACACGGAAATATGAATGAATCCTTCATCTGGGGTCCTAGTAGATTCTGAAAAACATAGTGGGTACCCTGGACTCAAACGACAGGTCGTGAGTGTCCCTTGTTAGTGATTCTTCTAACAATGAAAAACTACGCATTTTTGTATGAAATTAATTAATAGTTGGTGATTACTAATTACTAAACTAGCAAAATTAGTATTTTCATAGAAAGAGCACGAATTACCATTTGCATGAAAAACATTACGCAACTTTGTTTGCATGAAACTTTGTCATGCTGCCACAACCCGCCAACCAAAAAACACATGTTGTTCAACAAAAGTTGACATCAACTTGAAGAATTTCTTCAAATACGAAATAATTTAGCAAATTTGACATTTGTTTTAAAATCAATTCAATCAAGTAAATCAATTAAAGATCCGTTGCATGCTTTCTTTGTCCAGATAAAGTAATGAACTGCGGTAAGTGAAGTATTTTCTAAAAATTTACTCCAATTTCAAATTTGTTATTTCTTATCACTTATTAAATGTATTCGTTATAATATTTCATATTTCATATCTATATCTTTTTTCCACAGAATAATGTGAAAAGTAAGGTAATAATGATGTTAATTGTTACAGATCGGGTGCGGGAAGTTGGCGAACGGCGAACGTGAAGTTAGCGAACGCGAACCAAACCGTGAACTTGGCGAATCGTCGAACGGCGAACGTGAATTTGGCGAACCATCGAACGGCGAACGTGAATTTGGCGAACCATCGAACGGCGAACGTGAATTTGGCGAACCAGCGAACAAAAACGTGAATTTGGCGAACCAGCGAACAAAAACGTGAAGTTTGCGAACCAGCGAACAAAAACGTGAATTTGGCGAACCATCGAACGGCGAACGCGAACCAGCTAACCAAAAGGACATTTATTGGACTGCGTGTATAGAAGTCACCAAATTCAAATTTTTTAAAATGCGTAGAAAGTGATGGTCTCGCCCATCCTTGAAGAATTTCTGGACAAGGGGTCATATCAATTCAAAAGTTCTCCATTTTTTATAGATTTTAAAATTTGGTAATACGAGTTATTTTTTGCTCAGAGAGTTTGCTTGTCAAGAAAGATAAAATACTCAGATGTCCTACAAAATGCAAGCGAGTAATTTGTGGGTATCGTTTTATGCTGGATTTTGATGCAAGCGTGTAAAACGTTGCAGAATACAAAAATTCACCTATTTCAGCATAATTACTTAAAACATAGCTATTTTAATTAACAACCAACACGTATCCTCACTAATGGTACAATTGACGGGAAGTTCCTATTCAAGCTCGTGTCCAGTGCTTCTAATTCTTTACATACATCCTTCAACTTCTTCTGAATCCTGTTTATTATGCAGCGAATTCTTCAGATAATTCCTACGTTTGTTGTTTCAAATTCTTGTTCATCATCTTCTGTTTGTGACTGGATTTGTTGTCTTCTCACGTCTGACCTTTAATATTCCCTTGTTAATCAGTTGCCTCCCAAGCACATTAAAGTCATGTGGCGCACAAGCCGTCGCTAAGGGCCCAAGTACATCAAAGTCATGCACTCCTTGAACAGTTACCATGCGCCCAAATACATGAACGTCGTGTACTCCGACTGCGGTAGCTATGGGCCCAAGCACATCAATGTCATGTAATTACAAAAAGAAAATTTTCCGCTACGGAAATTCCGCCCGAGCACATCAAATAATTTTAAAAATCAGTAAAAATTTCTAAATAGCTGTAGTTTGTTTGGAGCGTGTATATTACACTTGTGTAGATCTTCAGGCATGTCTGGTGAGTATTTATCATCAACACACATATATGTATGTATAAATATATATACTATTTTCTCATACTTGAAAATACGTGCAGACAGTGAAGAAGTCGAATTTTCTCTCGGGTAGATTGCGACTCCGATGAGGAATTCTTGCGACACGAACACAACGACGACGATGACGATCAACTTCTCGGAACATGAAGATGATCAAGGCCCGGAAGTAGATTCCGAGCACGAGTTAGGTGACCTCGATGAACACACCGATGTACGTATATTAATTGTACATATGTATATTACTAAATAATGTTACTTCCGCCAAATTGATTCATATTTCAGACCAATGTGATCCGCTACCGTAGTTAATGAATCGCAAGTTAATGAGTATGAGGTACCGGGGAAATTTCTAAAGTCGAATTTTGAGGTCAAGATTGAATTTACTGCTCTAGAGATTTAGTAAAAATTCTTGGACACCGAAATGTTGGATGAAATCGTCCTTCAGACAAACATTTATTTTCAATACCTAAAACGCGCGAATCAGAACACCATGAAGGATTGCACTGTAGTGAATGGTGAAGAAATGTGGCAATTCTTTGCACTGGCGCTGATTATCAAGCTGGATACCAAGGACGACTGGTCCACAAGTTCGATGTTTTCTACCCGATTTTTTGGTCAGGTCATGTCAAGGAATAGGTATATATACAACAATAAAATACAATATATATTTATGTACACTACTTGTGCTAGCTATTTGTTTACTAGGTTTGAGTCAATCCTTCGTGGATTCCTGACACCGTCCCACCCAACAATAACCATCGGTGTATAAAGTTTGAAAATTTTATGGACAAGCTGTTTCAACATTTCCGAAAAGCTGTCAGGCTGGGATCTTTCTCGCGGTGGACGAATCCTTACTTTCCTTCAAAGGGAGATTATTATTCAAGCAATATCTCAAATTGGAATGAAGCTGTATCTCCTCTGCGATTCGGCCGGCAGATTCGTGCTCAAAGTTCTCCCGTACCAAGAAAGAACGACAAGAACTAAAAATTCAAACTGGATTCAAGAACTCGGATTTGGTGGCGCCACAGTGATGACCCTTCTTCATGGTTATTTTAACAAATTTCATAGAATCACTATCGACAACTTTTTGTGTCACCGATCTTAGCTATACGATTGAAGCAACTTGGTACTTACATTCTTGGAACCGTGCAGAAGTGGAGAAAACTGATGCGAAAATTAACGGACAAAGGGACAAGTTGCGACTTATTCTTCCTCCGACATTTTAGTGGAACGGGTTGTGTGTGCAAATTTACCAATAAAAACAATACACTAAAATGGAGGTTAAAATTTTGACAGAATGACCCGTATATTAAACGTTTGTTTCATGAATTTTAGTTGGTCTGATCGTAGAGAAATGGTGTTGAACACCTTCATGGGACACCGAATGGAAGAAGTCGCAACCACAAACCCAAACAATAACCGAGAGAAACCTGCAACTGACCTCGTCTACAATGTGACAATGGGAGCTGTGGATAACATCGACAGAGTGACAAAGCCATTCACATCTGTCCGCAAATCTTGCAAGTGGTACAAAAAATATTATTCTACTTCTTGGACATTTACAATTCGCACATCATTCACTCTTCTTTCCGCCCAACGAAGTTATAAGGACTTTGTACGAGTACTTGTCCGGGAAATATTGGAAAAATATTCACCACAACATAGATCATTGGGGAGGAAGTCGAACAGCCAGTTAGAACGGCAAATCGGCACCCACTTTCCAGAAAAGATTGTGGTGGATAATGTCTCGGTCTTCCGGGATTGCCAGCTATGCTGCTTGGAAGGAAAAATGTGTACCACAGCTTTCAGATGCGAAACGTGTCTGAAGTCTCTCTGCATAAGGAGCAAAGACTCGTGTTTCAAGAGATTTCATACGCTTTCGAAATTACCCGTCAAAAGAAAGCGATCTAACGCCAATGCATCTTCGGGATCGACGAGTCAAAGCATTGTGGATGTGGACCAATCAGTACCTCGGCCTGACTCTGAAATAGGATTAGGATTCGGTGAAGCGAATGAAGTGAGATTTCAAGAAGCGAATGTTGAATCAAATGTTGAAGGAATGGAGGAGGAGGAGGAAGAACTGTTTTCTATTTAAAATATGAGATTACTTGTCCTTGTGTGAAAATATTTTGCCGAACTGTGAATAAGTTTGTGAAATTTTATAATTAGTGATTTATAATTGTTATGCCGACTTTTTCCGGCCTATATTCGAATTGGCTATCATGATGTAGTGTTTTATTGTGAAAAAAATTTCTTCGCTGCGTAAGTAATGATAATTAAAATGATTTCCACATATCATATTATCCGTATCACCCTTGCAATAATTTGGACTATAGCGTACTTGTCAGCATTTAATATCTTGGGCAGCATTGAAAATACTCATCCAACAAAAGTGATACAAGGATCACTAAATTCGAAGCCTTATCTTGGGGCTTAGCCACTATATTAAAAAAATACCATGGCTTCAAATGTGTGCTAGGCAACTGGTTAACGCCTTATTTAGAGTATTATTTTCAGTTTGGGTTTCTTGAAGTTTTACTTTCTTTACCTTACTTCTCACAATACCAATTTATAGTAAAAAGTGAATATTTAAGAAATAATTTTATCTACACTCGCAAAAAGGTGATTGCATAGCAACTTTGCAAAATGAAGCAAAACCGAAACAAAAGCAACGTTAATTGCACTATAAATTAACAAAAAATAAATTAAAACGAAAATGTTGACATACAATTAATTTTTAACGAAATCAAAATTAAAGGAATTTACTATAAATTGATGTCTTGAAACACAAATTACGCAGAAATTAATACGACATTAATTCGTTACTCTAAATAAGGCGTCCTGGATGAAATGAAATTCCAATTTTATTTCAGACTTTCACATAGAGCGTACTCACGTCAACCTTCGCATATCTAGCATATCTCGCAAATTGAGCATAGCAACATAACTTGCGAAGTTTTGCGAGATATGCGAGATTTCGCAAAGAATTTGCTGGAAAACCATGGGATTTTTGTTCGCAAATTTACCCAGCAATCGAGCATGTCCTTATTTCGCAAAATTATTTCGCAAAGTAATTACAAGAGAAATTGCAAGAGAAATTACAGAAATCCATGGAAACAATACCAAAATAAGTGTTTTTTAGTAGATTTACGAGATAAGAGAGTTTTGCGAAGTCATATTTTGCGAATCCCCTCACGACAGAAATATTTTGATCTTCGCAAGTTTGCTAAATGAGTTGCGACGCGAAATAAGAAGTTGTCGTGAGTACGCCCATAGTAATTACTTTGAGAGAAATTGCAGGATATCGTTGATGTAAAACTTACCAGGTATACTATGGTTTGTTCCATTAGTTCTCTAGGACTAAGGATTTATTCCAACTGATCTAATAGAAAAAACTGTAAATAACTCGTATTACCAAATTTTAAAATCTATAAAAAATGGAGAACTTTTGAACTGATATGACCCCTTGTCCAGAAATTCTTCAAGGATGGGCGAGACCATCACTTTCTACGCATTTTAAAAAATTTCCCCGGTACCTCATACTCATTAACTTGCGATTCATTAACTACGGTAGCGGATCACATTGGTCTGAAATATGAATCAATTTGGCGGAAGTAACATTATTTAGTAATATACATATGTACAATTAATATACGTACATCGGTGTGTTCATCGAGGTCACCTAACTCGTGCTCGGAATCTACTTCCGGGCCTTGATCATCTTCATGTTCCGAGAAGTTGATCGTCATCGTCGTCGTTGTGTTCGTGTCGCAAGAATTCCTCATCGGAGTCGCAATCTACCCGAGAGAAAATTCGACTTCTTCACTGTCTGCACGTATTTTCAAGTATGAGAAAATAGTATATATATTTATACATACATATATGTGTGTTGATGATAAATACTCACCAGACATGCCTGAAGATCTACACAAGTGTAATATACACGCTCCAAACAAACTACAGCTATTTAGAAATTTTTACTGATTTTTAAAATTATTTGATGTGCTCGGGCGGAATTTCCGTAGCGGAAAATTTTCTTTTTGTAATTACATGACATTGATGTGCTTGGGCCCATAGCTACCGCAGTCGGAGTACACGACGTTCATGTATTTGGGCGCATGGTAACTGTTCAAGGAGTGCATGACTTTGATGTACTTGGGCCCTTAGCGACGGCTTGTGCGCCACATGACTTTAATGTGCTTGGGAGGCAACTGATTAACAAGGGAATATTAAAGGTCAGACGTGAGAAGACAACAAATCCAGTCACAAACAGAAGATGATGAACAAGAATTTGAAACAACAAACGTAGGAATTATCTGAAGAATTCGCTGCATAATAAACAGGATTCAGAAGAAGTTGAAGGATGTATGTAAAGAATTAGAAGCACTGGACACGAGCTTGAATAGGAACTTCCCGTCAATTGTACCATTAGTGAGGATACGTGTTGGTTGTTAATTAAAATAGCTATGTTTTAAGTAATTATGCTGAAATAGGTGAATTTTTGTATTCTGCAACGTTTTACACGCTTGCATCAAAATCCAGCATAAAACGATACCCACAAATTACTCGCTTGCATTTTGTAGGACATCTGAGTATTTTATCTTTCTTGACAAGCAAACTCTCTGAGCAAAAAATAACTCGTATTACCAAATTTTAAAATCTATAAAAAATGGAGAACTTTTGAATTGATATGACCCCTTGTCCAGAAATTCTTCAAGGATGGGCGAGACCATCACTTTCTACGCATTTTAAAAAATTTGAATTTGGTGACTTCTATACACGCAGTCCAATAAATGTCCTTTTGGTTAGCTGGTTCGCGTTCGCCGTTCGATGGTTCGCCAAATTCACGTTTTTGTTCGCTGGTTCGCAAACTTCACGTTTTTGTTCGCTGGTTCGCCAAATTCACGTTTTTGTTCGCTGGTTCGCCAAATTCACGTTCGCCGTTCGCCAACTTCCCGCACCCTTACAGATCGTGATTAGTTCACGCGGCGAACCCAACTGGCATTTGAGAGTTGGAGGTGCCAGAAAGGGTTCGCGGAAAGTGCATAAGGAAAAACGCATCGATGGAGGGTTCATTTCTCCCCCTTAATCGGTAGCATTCACGAAGCGCGTGGTGGCTGCTGCACGCCCATGCAGTGTGTGCTTCACTCCACGACGGTGGTGGACCACCCTGCCTCACCGCCACCACCACCAATCCCCACATATCCTGGCATCAAAAAATGAGGTTGAACTCACATAGGTGGCCTGGGCACCCTAATTTGAGCATATTCTCTCGAATGTCGGAGTCGTGTCTCCCCAAACTTTAGGTTCTACGATGGTGGGTCTGGTGCAGAAATAGGGGTGCCGACGCCACCTATGTGAGTTCAACCTCATTTTTTGATGCCATGATATATGGGGTGGCGGTGAGAGTTGCAGCCACCACGTTTTGGCAACGAAATCGTGTGTGCTCCAAAAATCTCACTTTTTCATCTGTTTTGCGGTGGCTTTTTTTCAAATACACTTTCCAGGAACTCTAACTGGTTCAGTTAGAGTCCTCGCAGGAACTAGATCGTGATAGTGAATCAAAACAATGTCAACAAATAAAACCATAATTCTTTACTATTTTTAAAAATTTTCCACAGAAATCAATCATGCCTCGCCCAAGCCTCAGAAAAATACAACTGCGGCAGCGGGCTCGATTAGCAGTGTTGGTTAAAGCTCATAAAAAACAACAACGTTCTAATGGAGGCAACGAACAAGTTCGTAGTCCAAGTGTTGAACTCAACTTACTATCCCCGTACTTAGGCTTTGCACCTCATTTGCATAAATCTCAATAGCCCATTTTCGGCGATACGAGCTTTCCATGTTGAATAAACTCTATGGCTCTCGCGAATGCGTTAAAATATGCAAATGAGGTGCAAGGGCTGAGTGCGAGGATAGTACAGTAGAGTTCAATCCATTTCTACTTGGACTGTTGGCTCTGCCACCACCACCGCCGCACTGTGTTCAAAATATCCTTATCCGCGGCAAAAATAATTAAGGGTATGAAATGGACCCCCAAGGTGGAAATTCAATCTGGGTTTGGGTTATTTCGATTTCAGGGTGTGGGTGTGGTTGAAATAATTAAGTTTTTATCGAAATTTCGTAAAACTCTGAAAAATTATATTTTTTCGGATTGATGGGGAATCTTTTTTGGCAAACACCATCTTGTTTAAAAATAGTTTTCTTGCTGTGATGCGCAAAAATAAAATGTTCTTTAAATAAAAAAATAACGTCTCCACCCCCATAGTGCACAACTTTTTGAATCAGGGTATAAGTATTATTAATTAATAACAACATAATGGTGTTATACTTCTGCCAACGTAAATTTTTAAAATCATATTATTTTTAACAATGGTATGGAAAAACTTAGGCTATACTAGTATAACTTGAGAAATTATCTTGCTCCAACACTTTAACTCCAACGTGCATGTCGATGGCATATTTTCTATTTTGTATGCGCGATATTTTTGACAGGTTTTTGGATAAGTTTTTCATAGTCTTTTCATATTCAAAGTAATTCCCGATATACATGAAATCGCTATTGAAATTTTCAAACCCGGAATGCACTCTAATTTTGGAAAGATTTGTGTGCTTAACAAATAAATTTTCGCACTCTGAAACTAAATATTGTGAGCAGTCTGTTACTTCCTGCAAAAACCTATGAGCTTTCCCAACAACTGGGGTGAACTCTTCTCCCATAAGCTCTTTTGCAGCGCGCTTTTCAATTTCTGCAAGGTTTCCTCCTGTGGATCCACGAATTCTTATCATCTTTTCCGTGAGTTTCCCACTTGAATGAGAGAAGGCTTCTGCAACATTTATTATAATATTACGGTACGTAAGTAACATATCACCATCTCGGCAACATTTTTATTCTGGTTCCCTAGATGGTGATACGTTACTTGCGAACCGTAGTAACAGTTGCATTAAGATACTAACCCTTCGTGTCGCCAACTACAAATTCCGTCACTATATCATGCGGGTTATTTTTGTTCTGTCCACCATTAGTATTGCAAGTTGAATTCCATTTCATGGCATGAGCTACATGTTCAGGTGCAAACCCATGCAGTAAACTCAGATAATAGTGTGTTAAATTTAGATAGTTCTTGTGTGACTTTCCTTGGTATGTTATGAGATGTAATTTGCGGAAGATCATTATATTGTCACCGTGATTAAAGTTAATGGCGGACCTGAAACACTGCAAATCGCACAGCATATTAATATACAACCTTATCATCGAAGGTGGCTTATTCTACCTCTAAGTTTAGAATGGAATACAGAAGAGTTTTCGTGTATTTGAATACTTGATCTGCGTCGTCTTTCATGCATTTCTCTGTGCAGTACCATTTACCAGTGAAACTATCTTTAGTGATTTTTTTCCATTTCATATTTCCTCGTTTAGCTGTATACTTCTTTATACAGGCCTGGGAAAAATTCAACCGGTTTAATTTATATCACATTAAAGCAAACAAAAATATTCTTACTTGGTGATACCACTGGTTTTCACTACAGTCATAGTTATCGCAACAAATCCATTCCGTTGTTTTATCTTTGGCGTCATATGGTTTGAGGCAGAAACAATATCTGTGATATATATTTAATTTGCAATTTAATAATGTACAACTTATTTAACACAAACATATGTGAAAAATCCTTCTATTTTAACAAATTGTGTGCCGTACTGTTTCTGTTTACATGGCCTAAGAATGTCCGCAAATTCCATTTCCATCAGATCCATGCCTATTTTGCTCATGAGTTGATTGAGCTGAGCTTTTGATAACCCAGAAATATTAATAGTTGCCAGTCTCAGCCTTGCATATGCTACAACATAGCTCCGAAGTGCAAATCGCAAGAATCGCATACAAGGATTGAATTGATGAATAACATCCTGCGAGACCAGTTTATGCTTGTATCTGAAAGTATCATTCATTTATCATGTAAGCCAACCCCTTGGTATGCAACTGTTTTCTGGCTAACTTCAACTTTAAATCGTTAAGGCTGCCTTTGGTCTCCCACACTCTTTGGTTCGATAAGAGGCTTTTCATAATTTCGGTCCCGACTATTGCTCTCTCATGCCAGTAACTATGAATACCGAACATGCTCCTCACTTTGTCCTCTTCAGTAAGTGAATGGCACCTGTGGTCCTGGGATGCTTTCTGATTTATTGCGGTGAGACCTTGGGACGATAAGTATGACTACTACTGAGTAAGCATACCAAATGAAGTTGCACAATAAATAGTATACCATCTCCCCAGGTAACAATAGGAAGAAAGTTGCCATCTGGTTTCTTGGGGACATAATCTTGCATTTCTTTCAAACAGTTAATCATGCTGTCAATTGTCCCCTATTCAAATGAAACTGTTGACTTTACCCGGTTACTGAATATTAGCCGCTCGCTATTACTTCTCTCCGTCTCATATACAAATTAACTCTCCGTACTCTCCGTGTTGTAGAGTGTAGAGCGTGTATACTGACTGTGTTGTAGACACCGTTAATTGGTGTATGAGACGGAGACAAGTAATGGCCCGCGGCTTATACTATCCAACATGTACCTCGTTGTGTGGAATCACCCCAAGGTTTACAATTTCGCTTTTTTTTGCAGACTCAACCATATATTCGTGCTCTGGGTATCGACTGAGGCGTTTATCGGTTTTAAAGAAGACGTCAAGGTTTTCTTGTAAGATGAGAATGATTTCCCGTAGGTGCAACTGCTTCATGGTAGTTACTTCTGAATCTTGTAACACAAAGGCTGACATTGGAATGTCGATAGGGTCAAGAACTGGCCTAGGACTTAACACCATCCTCCAGGGGGTGGCAATCCTATCCCGAATTGCAATGAATACCACCACGTTCAAACTGTGCAAGGTATTGGTGTTCCCGTAGTGTCTGGGATGTATGCTTTTATTTAAGTTGTCATAACTTAAACAAAAGCTTTTAAAACTTTCCTCTTGCGTTGAGACATCAGAAAAATTCAATTTCTTTCTTGCCAAACTACCTCTTTTCAGAGATAGTGGGAGTGCAGGGGTTGATGTTATCCCTGGAGTTACGTTAATCTCATCGTCCGAACTCTCATAAATTCTCAAGCAACTTAGAGAACTGGTAGCCTCTTCTGGTTGAAACACAGGCCGGGCATTTCTGCTCTGAGGATTTTGGGAGGAAACTAGTTCGTCTTCTATCTCCTATAATAATTTATTCTGAATTATCCTCTCTTATTCATGTGTTACCTGCTAACTATTAGAATTTAAGCCTACGGCTATTATTTAAAATTAAATATCTCGCCAATTTCAATTAAAATTTTTCAGACTAAATTTTGACATAATTTAACAAAATCTATGGTTGCTAACCGGCTTTACCTTCTTCCAATCCCGCACAGGTTTATCAAATGTCTTCTGTTGTGTCTCCATGTAATTTAGTATAGTCTTGTAGCAGACTGATATGCCCATTTCATGAAATAATGTGTATGTCTGTGTAAGTGGTAATATTGGCTGAATTAAGTATTTAAGAATTAAACTTAAAAAGATTAAAACCGGATCATACCTTAACGGATACCCCGTTCTTCCAAAGGAGAGCACCAACACTTTTAGCGAAAATGTTGTCGTGCATTCTCCGCTGGTATAAGGCAATCCCAACTATGCTCCGCATGGCAGGAGTGAACAGACCTTCCTCTAAGCCAACGAATCCTCCAAGAATTGATAGCGTAACGGGCGCAAAGTTCTCGCATTCCTCATAGATTACATCAAGCGATGGGAATAGATCACCAGAACTCTGACTCCCGAATGATGAGTTGTCACCCAGTACAGCAAGTTCGGCATTTATAATTCGATTTATGTTACTACGTAATGATTTGAAACTCTTCTGATTGGTGCGACTAAACACGTTTTTTAACTTTTGACCAATAGGAGTTGATTTACGTTGTAATGTTCCTTCATATCTCTCAACTGGATGTTGTGCTTCATTTTCTGATTCCACTTCGGATTCTTCCTCTTGCAAAAGTGAAGCCCGTTCAAGATCGTTATTTTCGCTTATGCAATATTCTGCGTTTTCTGATGAGTGTGAGTCTAGTGCACTTGCAGAAGTACATGGTTGTTCATATTGTTGAGGTAGATGCTGGACACTGATGACCAATTTTCTTCCAATATAGGTGTTGTCTTTGGTACGTTCTTTAAATTCCTGTAACTTAATATATGCCGTCCCAAGCTACAAACTACACTTTTGGCACAAATACCTCAAGTCCTTCTTTGGGCGGGATGGTGTTGTGGTCAGCACGGATGGGAAAAACAGTTGAATAGCCTGATTCACAGTGCAATCCACATTTTTTATTCGTGATGAAAAATTTACGCGGTTTTTATCTGTAACACCTCCGCAATTATCACAATTTACCAACTTGTCTTTTACCATCTCAGCGAACGTAAACCCACTTCTTACACATAAAAAATGATTTCTGGATAAAGTCGATGTCGTACTCGTGAACCATATGAAACCATAACTAAGTTTACTTTGTAAGATGTGATTTATTGAAATATTTATAACTTTCTATGTTCACATACAGCACAATTGTACATACAGACTTTCTATTTCAACATTGTGGCAGGCGAGTTTGAAACATCAAACCAATAGAACAATGGGAACTTTCATTTGTAGAAAGCGAAATCCTTAAGTTATGGTAAACAAAACTTGTTTTAAATAAACAATACATGTTGACTTTCATTTTTATAATATTTTTTGTTTGATATAAACTATGGAACCGTTCGTAAGGCATGTTATCCATGTTACGTATGATAAGAATCGTTAATAATAGAATGTTGTATATTAAATTACTACTAATATTTAACGTTAAAACTTCTCCAAATTTACGTCATATTTTGTGTACGGCCCTTCTGAAATGCATAGATTTAAATCGCATAAAAGTTTGTCCTATATCGCCCGTTATAATGCAATTTTTCCTAGAGTTTTACGAAAATCCGACTAAACCCCATTGTCGGCCACTCCCATAGCCGGGAACCATAATAACATGCATTCAGATGAAGTCCACACGATTTGCTTCCATTTTATGCATTGAATCATTTTTTACCGTTTTATGAGGTATTTGTGCACTGTGCAATCCTCACTTTTCCTCAGATATCGGAGGAAACACCGGGGCAAAATCCAAGTGGACTTTCATTGAACTGAAACACACTGTGTCTCAGTTGGACAACAAGTTCGAGAATTCGAAGTACACTGTTTGAAATTTGAATAAAATTTTTCGAGTTTTTTTTAAAGTTTAACTTTTTAGAATTGGGCAGCAATGAGGTCGAGGTCATGGAAGGGGTACCTGTCGACATTGTTCCGATCTGTATCATTTGCTGTTGTCCCTCCCACAATTGTAAATATCCCACAAAAGTAAAATTTCTGTTGGGACAAGTCGTCCCATATTCGCTCCTTTGCGACTCCACCTTTCGCCAGGAGGAAATTGAACAACATATTGACCTCTGTTCGTCATGTGTGCGTCTTCTAGGACAAGGGAACAGTTACACGAGAGGATTGTCAAACTGGAGAGGGAGCTGGACCAGGTGAAGAACACCGTGAAGAAATTCGTACAGAATTCCACCCTCGTTAAGCATGAGGACGGAGGAAATTTGGTGGTGGAACAAATATACGTAAATATTCGTGAACAATTGCTGAGTGGTTAGTTAGTCAGATAATTTAATCTGTGATTAGTATATATTTCTTAATTATTTATGTCAAATTTGCATAGATTTCGTGGGAGAAGAAGATGAAGAAAATTTTGTCGTCACGGACTACTGGTCAGGGGTAGAGTTTGCTGAGAATGAGGAACGAACGGAGAATATTTTTAGAACGGAGCATGGAAATGATCCATTAGAATTTGAAGGAGATTCAATTGTTGAAGTTGTTCCAAATTCAGACGTTGCAAATTCACCAGTTTCCAGTAATACTCGTATTGAAGAAGATTACAGAAATTTTCCAGACTTTGAAAGGGAAAAAGTTGTGGCTACGTATTCGAAAACGACCCCCAAACGAAGCGTTAAACCAATCAAGATTAGCCAAATATTGAAAGCGAAACGAAAAAAATATACCCCAAAATCAACGTGAGTCGATACAACTTGTGATAACCAATTAATTATTATAAATATGAATCATATAGAATTAAAAGAAGTCAGGAAAACGTGTCAACAATCCCGACAGTAAGTAAATCTAGATCAACGTCACACAAAACTGGGTAGGTTTTGACATTAAATTAAGTTATCACCACATTCAAAATACCATTATCTGTAATATACATACAATTCTAATCCGTTTTAATAGTGTTGATCACTTGACCTCACGGAACACTGGAGTAAAATCCAACCTGCCTAGTTTCATCGAACCCATGTCCCTACCGGTCCCGGAGGTTCGAAAGCTACCTGACCCCACCAAGCCTGCAAAAGGAAGCTATCCTTGTGCCATTTGTCCAGATAAGTTAGATACCCTTTTGGAGGCCATCTTGCACCGGAAATTTATTCACCCAGGTACGCAATTGACCTATGTATGTACATACATATGTACATACAACGTCTTAAACGTATGTACGGCGCTGGTCGTTTAGCTTTGTCGAAATAAATGTATGTAAAATGAACATGGAAAGAACAATAATAAATACAATTATCAACGTCTTAAATATTTAGCTCATGTAGCAAATTTTGGAAATATTCGTGTCGTAAAGGGATTCGCAAAATGATCTTGTAAAGCCGTAAAAATTCCGTTATCCTATTTTGATTTGGTCGTCCCCTCCCCACGTAGGATGACTTTCCGAAATCATTTTAAAAATGAATTTGAAAAAACCTGTTAGAAAAGATTGTTTGTGAAAACTTGCAAATTTTTGCTGTTAAACCAATTTGATATTGAGTACGTAACTGATTTATTTTATAACGTAGGTCTCTCCGTATGCACTAGTCCAGTTCTTACTCTCCAATGTGGAAAGATATTCAGATCGTGCGACATAAAGCGCCACAGGATAGAAAGTCATCCACTTGTTCGGTGTCTCGAATGCAGGGAATCCTTCACCACCACGGACAGATTAGAGTCTCATATGAAGGCAGTTCATTATAAGGACGGATCTGCGTTACCACCACTGCCAGAATTTGGATATGATGTCAAATTAATCCCGTGGGTGATCCCTATGACGAAGGAAGAAGTCCAAGAGGCGACCCGGGACCAAGGATTTTTTCGAGTTAACTTAAATCGGGTAGAAATTAAGGACGCGCCGGAGCAGCAAAGTATCGATCAAATAGTTGATAAAGTCGGCCCATCTACTTCAAAATCTCAAACGACGGAAGAATGCAACAAGGTGCCAAAGTAAGAAAATTTATTGACTGATCTATGTTCATGTTTAATTCTTTGAAAGGATGGTACATATACATATTTTTTTTTAATTTCTATCCACAGAATTCTAGAGAGTGGGACGGCTTCCGTAGCAGAAAATATTCACATCACGGAAACTGCAAGAGTTTTTCCTACTGAACTAACTCAAGGTGGTAATTTTAGACTGTTTATTAACTTTAATAAAATGTATAAAATATATGCCAATTGACAATTACTTATTTACTAATTATTAGTTCCAGTCAAACCAAAGAAAAAGAAAATTATTTACAACTGCGGCGTCTGCAATACAAAATTCCTCGTACAATCCGATCTCCTCCAGCATTTGGCCGATGCTCACAACCAGACCCCAAAATTCGGTTGCATCGTCTGTCTCAAAGAATTCGCTTCCCTCACTGAATGCGAAGCTCACGTTTTTGCGAACCATCCTGGCGCCAACGCCAAGGTACCAGAGAAAGCTATGAAACATACTACTCCAAAAATCAGGAAATCCACAGAAAGTGGAATTAACAAGAGATGGTTGTGGCCATTTATGTGCAAAACATGTCGGTTACGGTTCAAAACACTTCCGTCGTTGCAGACTCATTTGAAATCAGAAGATCACAAATTAACCTTGGAGTTAGGACCGTTGGAAGTTTGTCCACGTGATGGGTTGGTTAAATTATAATGCAAAGTCTCGCTAAATTGTATTCTGAATATGAAAAAATTATGCAATTACAGATGTCCGTTCGAGTACCGTACTCAATCGGAGTTGGACTCTCACTTAGCAGAACATCCCATCGACGATAAACTTGAATGCCCAGAATGCCATAAAAAATTTACCTCTGATCCAAACTACCTGTTGCACCACCGAGTTCGGGCCCATGGTTACATTTCGGCGGAACCTTTACCCCCAATTGTCTTCAGGTGCCGTGTTGAAAATTGTGGCGAAGAATTTCCCGAGAAAGGACGATTCCTACGGCACATGAGGAACATTCATGCAGAAGGGAAGTACAAGTGTGCTCCTTGCGGGAAAGCATTTTTACATCAGTAAGTTACATATCCTACTCAATTTGTGCGGAGGCAACATTGGCAGCGGAAGTTGGGGGGATTGTGAGATAGAATTGTTAAATAGGACGGGGGACTTATTAGCTGGAAAGATAGGATTTTTCTGAATTTTTGGGGGGGAAATGTCCCTGTCCCCCCGCTTCTGCCGCCACTGAGAGACAATTCACTTGGAGATACAAACCCCTTTACCTTGGAAAATCAGCTTGTGAGCTTTGTAAAGTTACACAAGCATCAAACACGTTTCTTATTTGCAAAAGTTTGTAAAGAATGTTAAAGTGGTTTAGCAACATTCTGTGTGAATTTCATTACTATGATAACTACCTTTTTATACTTATCTTAGTTTGAATTGCAGGAAACAATTCAATTACCACATGAAATATGTGCATGAGAAATTACCAGGAGATTTTGGCTGTGATATTTGTGGGAAACGTTTCAAGAACAATTCTAACCTTGCTGCTCATCGACCAATTCACAGAGAAGAGCGTCCCTTCCTTTGCTCCCAATGCGGAAAGTCGTTCAAAACCAGGACTAGTCTGACGATTCATAATTACAGTCATGACCCGGATCGTTGGACGAAACATTACCCGTATCGAGTTCTGGTACAAAAACGGCTACAAACCCAGAGAAAAAGAGAGGCAGCTGCAGCTTCCGGCCGAGCAAGTTGGACAAAGCGACGAAAATCCAATATTTCGAAAGAAGTTCCCAACCAGTTTGACCATACTGAACAGGAGGAGAGTCAAATTTGAAATTTCTGTTCAAAAATGATCAAGCCAAGAAGTTGTACAAAACTTTGTTCAATTCAAAAATATTGGAGTTTAGGATTTGTGCAAATTTTACGTGCATATCTGAACAGTTGCGTAATCTGCGTGTGTTTATAAAAATTAGGAACATACAATTTACTTCCATCCAATATTAATAGTCTAAAAAACGCTGGACAAAATTTTACACAACTTGGTGGAAATTATATACACTTTCATTTAGAGTTCAAATAGTTCTTTTTTTTATTATGTGCTTTTTGTTTGTTGAACTTGCTAAAAAATAAGGTGGTCATTGCAAAGCTTAGATACTTAATTAATTCGTAAAGATTATTCCCACCAAACGCTTCCAGGCAAAAAATAATATTTAATTCACATCCATGAACTAGACTTGGATTTATGTATGCGGAAATGTCAAATTTACATAGTTACTAAATAGTTTAGAAATATATTTTTGCCTGATGAAGAAATTCTGTATATATGAATATCGAAAGGTTGCAACAATAATAAATATATCTTTTGATTCCGATGTAATTGATCAAAACTATATAAATATTTAGCCAACTTATTACATGCGAAATAAATAAAGTGATCATAAATTAAATATTGGTAAAGTATTAAAGAATCGTGATACAAATGTTTAACACAAATTAAACTTTCCAATTAGCAAAAGACAGATCAAAGTCATCTAGATCGATGATCTGATACATTGGCGTTGCTCGAGTCACTTTTTCGGTGGTTGTTGTGGGGTAATTTTCAGCAGTCGGGGTCGTTGTTGTGGGGTCAGCTTCAGTGATCGGAGTGGTCATTGTTGTCGGTAAGTTTTCGGTGGTCGTTGTGGGCATGTTTTCGGTGGTCGGGGTGGTCGTGGTTGGTAAACTTTCGGTAATCGGGGTGGTCGTTGAGGGTATGTTTTCGGTGGGTGGGGTCGTTGTTTTGGGAAAGTTTTCAGTGACCGTCTCATATTCATATTCGTACTCGTCCTGAATTTCGCAATCCATCTCGTCTGACCCATCTTCACAGTCTACGTGCGAATTGCACTTCTCGAATTTGTAGACGTACTGGAGATTAGACTTGCAAAGAAAATGGGATTCAATCTTTCTCCCCTGTATCGCATGAGAAACCCAATCCGAGAAATGCGAGACTTTTGTGAAGACTTGGGCCCATGGTTCTGAGCGAAATGATCCGTTCCAATGTGCCATACACTCTACTAAAGGTCCACCCCAGGAAACGATTCCGCACAGAATATCTCGCGAGGGTTGTCGTCCAAGAGGAAGTGACGAGATATGAATCGAGTCATCCTGACAGACCACGGGGGAACCGGAATCCCCTAAAAATATTGTATTTAATTTTTTGACTTGATATAAATTTGTATTTACTAAAAGTTACAATGTATGTATTTAGTAATTAATTTTCGGAAATCTTAGTTGCTCAAGAAATCATAAGAACGAACGCAATTTTTTTATATAAATTGGAGATATTCATTAGCACATATGAATCGGATTAAAAAAAACATACTTTTCGAAGTACATAATAAGTCTACTTTACTAATGACGCGCAACTTCTCAAATTATTTTTAGGCGAATTATAAAAAAAACTGGTTTTCATGGATCGAACTAAATACCTGGACAAAGTGCTGTTTTCTTTGACACTGCGCACATCATGTGATGCGTCACTAATGATGGGTTGTGGAGCCTGGAACACTCGGAAGTACTTATAATTTGAAGGGTGGAGACCCGTGAGGTCTCAGGAAACTGGGAGAGATCGCCAGGGAAGGTTCGAGTTATGCCGAATCCATAGACGGAAACCTGACCTAAAATTAAAAGTAAGATAAAATAACACTAAGCGTACTCATGACAACGTCGAATTTTGCATTACAATTAATTTAGCATGTTTCTGAATCTCAAAAAAATTGGGCCATGGAAGGATTAGAAAACTGTACTACTATTATCCGATATTGTGTAAATACATAGGTGGATTATTTGCAATTTCTAAAGCATTTAACAGAGAGGATAATTTTGTAAAATAAAGTTGCGAAATAAAAGTGTGCTCACTTTCTGGATAAATTTGCGAAAAAAATCGTATAGTTTTTCAGCATAAGTTTTTCGAAGGCTCCGAAATTTTGGAAAACTTTGCTAGTTTGACATACTCAAAATATGCTAAGGTTGACGTGAGTACTCATTTATTAATTTTCCCCTGCCAATTTAAATAGCAATCTTAAATTCAACGGAAAAAGCACTAACCAGTAAATTGTCGAAAGTCCATCGCCATTGGGATTGGCTGTACGTAGCGATTGAACTTCAAGGGGTGGCTGACCCTTAACAGGGCAATATCGTTGAGCAAGTAGCGTTTGTCGTAAAACGGGTGCGCAATAATTTCCAGTATATTGCGAACTTGCTGGGTTTCGTCATACCCACTGGTCTTATACTTTCCAGCGACTATGCGAATTTCGGAGGGGTGGCGATACATCTTTGACGAACCCCGCCGAACCAAGCAGTGTGCCGCTGTTAGTATGAAGAAGGCGTTGATGATAGTCGCACCGCAGTTGGGTTGATTGGTGCTACTGTACACCATTTGCACCTGGTAAGGTGCATAACCTGGGATGCTGTCCGTTGCCCGTGGAATTCCTAGAAAAATGAACAAAATTGAAATCAAATAATGCTTAGACATTTTTATCCTATGTAAAATTCAAGGTACAGAATTTCACACTCTTGGGAAAGGAAAATATAAATAATACGAATAGCTTAATAAGCTAGCGTCAGTTATGGAATCTTTCAGGGAGATTATTTCTAACAAATTGGAAATTTTTTAATTAATAGAAATTGACGGGTGGGTGTGATGGGCGCTAATGTAGTAAAACCACTATAGATTAAAATTGTATTAAAATATTTAAGTACTTACTTATTCTCATCGTACGAAATCTTGGACGTTCAAACGTCTCACTTTTTATTCGTGCCTAAATTCGGCGTAAATATATTCGTAAATTGGCTTAAAATGCTGGAAAACGTGCTTAGATTGTGGGTCAATTGCAGACTGAGGGCTGAAGACTTGGATCATCTCAATTAAACAATTGGCCTAGAATGACTCAGTGAGTCAGACTCACTCATAGTCGGTTATCATTCTTCCATCAAAATTTTAATGTAAAGAGACTCCTTAAAAGAGTGTGCTGAGCATTAAATACTAATCAAAACGCAAATAGGTAGCCAAGCGGGATGTGTACATATCTACTTTAGATTGACTATGCCAACAATCGTAGCATTGTTTGCATTGGGGGTGTTCATAAATTATGTTGCGCGAGAGGGGTAACGGGGGTCTAAAGCTCCTATGATATCGTGCCTTTGTGACGCATAGTAAAACGGATGAGGGGTCTAGAAAATCACGATTTTACATAAGTTATGAACGCTGGGTCGGGTTAACCCGGACCAAACCCGGGGTTTTGGCAAAATTGTCCCTTTACATGGGTCCGGCTCGGGTAGAAGAAGTTTTTGTCGGGTCGGGATTTCTATGACTTCATTGCGATTGGGTTGGGCTGGGTACAAATTAAAGAATGCCGGGTCGGGTTTTACAAAATGCAGCCCGAACCATACCTAATACATATCCAACTTGACAGGTTTCATCGGAATTATTTTTCTCCTATTCTTATCGACCATAACAGATGTGCAATTATTTATACGCCATGACTCAGCTTAAATACATAAGTTGTAACATGAAAAAAAAAACATGGCATTTTATCAAATTCCGTTCTTGTGAAGTTTACACTGTAGATTAGTTCCTAAGACAGGCCTCATGCTATAGAATCAACAAATAGATAACTCGTTAAGCTATCCGGGTGTAGCTTGAAAAAGGTTCTATTGTCAGTCTCATAGGGAATGTTCATAAAATACGTAACGTAGGAAGGAGACAGGCTGTTTTGTCAGGCTGTTACAGGTCAATATGTGCCACATGCTAAAAACTGGGTCTAACCCGCAACAAGGGGGAAGGAAGGGTCTGAAATCTGCATTTTCCGTGACATAATTTATGGACGTCCCTGATATAAAATGATTCATTGATAACCAATTGAAAATTTACTTAAAATTAAATAAATACGAGAAACGAATGCAAGAGTTATATACATATGTGCGTATTTGCATGAAATTACATATATACATAAGTCGTGTTTTATTTTTCCTAAAATTACACAGCAACTAAATAATTTACATTATTGCTTCCATATGAATAACAAAATATATTAATGATGTATGCCAAAAATTTAGCAAAACCACGGCACGGCTTTATCAATAATTTTTTACAGCTCTGAATTATGTATTCATCATTATTTCGGTCTTGTTCTAGACCACATACATATTAGACGCCCCTAATTTCGTTCCTTCACGCAGTTTAGTCTTCAAAAAGTCTGGTATTATTTATGTAGAAAGGCCATTGTCCTTGGTAATTGTGATTTGTCCGTCGGTAATTATGCTTGAGTAATGATAATCATCTTAAAACAAATACGCCGCCCTTTCTATCACATCCTGCGGAACCGTGAGTAACAAATTGATCGTGTGTGTCACAAACATGACGAGATACGTAACTTTTGTACATCGCCTATAAATGAAGAACTTGTATCCGGCCAGGATTGGCGAAATTGTAATATTCTTCATTGACTTGAGTTGTTTATGCGATATTTTTCGGGCTTCCATTAGCCTCAAAATCGAAAACAAGGTCAAAATTTTCAGCAATTTCTCCGAAAAGTCTAGCACATTATGCAAACATGGCATCGTGACGTGAATTGTGATTAAAATCATCACCGCAACACAAGGGTATATTGTGTAAATCCAAATTGGCACAGTTGTATACAATTTTAGACTTGCAAAGTTGCACAATACCCCATTTGCTAGCCCTAAACCTTGCGCGAATAGGCAAATGCAGCCAAGTAACGCTTCCATTGATACCACTATGATTTGAACTTGGCGGTACTGCGATTCCACGAGCGTACCGCGCATTCTCGCAAGAATGACGAGGAATCGGGTGGAATTTCCTTTAATTAAGGCTTTCAACGTGTTCCGCAACATGTGAAACGTGCTGATGGAAAAGAGGATCACCAAGGCGAGTGATCTGCATAGTTCGGCAGGTCCTGTGACGATAAGATAAAATCTGAAGATGTGCAAGAGAGGATTCGTGATTTTGAGCATGGACAAGATGTGACCGTATCGGTCCAACTGGAAGAAAATGGCGGATACAGAGAGGAGTAATGGGTACGTGGTGAAAGCCCAGATGAAGCCGGTCATCGTAATCCAGAGAAGGCTTCGTGACGAACTGTCAGGTTGGTCGCGTCGCCGTTCTACAGAAAAAGGAAAGAAATACATATAATAAGATATTTTGCATGAAAAAACAACTTTGAGACTAGATAAGATTAGATACAATATAACCCGAATATTAACACGATAAGTAATTATTTCATGGGTTAGGGAATTCGTGAAGTAGATAATTTTAGTGAATGTCTGAAGATTAGGCACCTTTTGTCATTTTTACTTTTATTCTGACCCTGCGACATTTGCACACACATACATGCATATGCATTTAGTATGTTTAGGTTTCGCTAATGTTGGTTGTATAGAAATTTCGGCGATTTTAAAAAATACAACTAAAACACGAAAATATTTTTACAATCAACTGCAAGAATGAGACGGGGTTGAAAAAATGTTCTACCGTAGTTTCAAGGAATTTTATTGTAGATCCCGCCACTGGTCCACAACCAGAATCAGAGTAAAAATTACTATTTCGAAAGGTGTCTGATGCGGGAATATCGACTGTTTTTGATAGTAAAAAGTGTCACCTTGAAGTTTAGCCTCCATGGCGACCAAAGTGTTCCAACCCTGGACACAGTCGCTCCCGTACAACATCATTCCCAAGTTCATAGCAAATATGGCCCCTCCTGAAGATAGCTGGACGACAAAGATGAATATATATACGGCATGGAAAGCTTGGTAAAATTTGAAGATTTGCGACAAAAGTATCACTATTAGGCCGCCAACAGTGCAAAATCCTAAGCCGACAAATATGTGGAAGTACCAGAGATAACTTTTAAATTGTCCAGAAACGAAGACGAACTTTTTCTTTATATGACACCACTCGATCGGGGGCGAAGTGAAGTGTTGCATTCGGCGGGAATATTCCTGATATGTGAGAAACATGGCGGCAGGGTAAAATATATAGGCTTATTTTTGTAGTTGATATATTTGAATGGGGAGAGTTTTGTTGTACTGTCAAAGGAAATATGTAGACCGTTTTCTGATTCAAACTATTGATAATTTGGGAAATAAACTGCTGATGGTCCGAAATGATATAATATTTATGTATTTATTTATCATGATATTTTATGTTGGTTAGTACTGACAATAAAGTAAATACACTCTTAGAAATCCAGTATTAAAATAATACCAATTCATATTCATGTATGACTCTACCAAAATGGCTCTGATAAGTTTTACCGTGTAGGAATAGTTCGATATTAAAGTTTACTACATCGGTAGCACATTTTTACGGACCGGCATAATTTTGATGCCAAGCGGTAGCAACCGAGAAATCAATATCTGCGTGACCATACCAGATTTCTAATAGTGTATCGGAAAATGAAATACAGAGGTATGAGGATAATTGTTTATTAGCGGATTGGCGGATAGGGATCGATGGTTTGGTTATGAATTTTATTACTTGAATTGACTTTACTAAACTTTGGATTAATTTAAACAGTGGATAAATATTTTATACGCATTTCGAAGATTAGAGGAACCACACAATATATAGATAAGTACGTAAATAGGTAAATATGTGTGTGCATACATACATATGTATGTTTCAAAGTATGTATTATTGTATATATCCTTTAAGGCATGAATGCATGTAAGTACATATATGTATATGTACACATAACCCTTTGTGTATTTATTTCGTCCCGATTTTTCATGCTATTATGAATATGTATTTGAGAGCTTGTTTCTTAAAAACGGTAAAAACCTAAAGTATTTAGAAATTTGTTGAAATTTTACTCAGCTGGAACAATTGTTAAACCCTTGTTTTGCCAGGATTTTTTAAATTCTGCACGTTTCCTTCCGTATGTACTGCGAAATTAAATTAACTTACCTTATTCGCCTTCAAGATATAAAATCATACCTACAGACGTACATATGTATGAACATATTGCTGTAAAATTTATCCTGCCCGGAACAATTTAAGCTGACTTGTGTGGCAGAGGAATTTAAATGTCAGTTTACACATATGTACATATCTAGATATGTACATACATATTCTACACATTTAATCGCAATGTGTATATAAATGTATCTACATATTTAATGGTGGGCTTTGCTATGTGTTAGTTGCACACATTTTAGTCATTTTTTCTAAATTTTATTTTATTACCTTTTTTGCATAGATATCTTTACACGAGAAAATAGGAAGGTTATTGCAAAACGTGAATAATTATATAGTTATTGTTATAGTTACAGTTACACATGGCTCATTATTATTAATCAAACCAGAACAATATTCAGACAAAAAATATTTGATTTATGTATGTACATCAATTAATTAGAGTTGGATTTAAATAAGTGTAGGTAAATATCGAATTTTTATAGTAACTATAAAGATAGATCTACTTACTTAGCTAACCTATGTATGTATGCATTGATGTATGTATGTAATAAAGCGGTAAATATCTGTAAAACACTGGTAAAATGTTAAAGAATGTCGCATACAAATGCGGCACGCAAATTAATCTTCTCAATCAGAAAACGAGAGATCAAAGTCATCTTGTTTGACAGTCGGAGATGGTCCAGTCGCATTTTCGGTGGTCAGGTCATCTTCCATGATTGGCGTGGTTGTTGGAGGGTCGTGATCAGTGTTTGAGGTGGTGGTGGGTAGGTCATTTTCAGTGATCGGGGTCGTTGTTGTGGGGTCATCTTCAGCGATCGGGGTCGTTGTTGTGGGGTCAGTGTCTATCTCCTCGGTCTCATATTTATACTCATACTCTTCTGGAATTCGCAATTCATCTCGTCTTCCCCATCTTGGCAGTCCCGGTACG